GCCTGTAGCAACTTCTCTTTGTGTTACCAGGAAAGCAAGACCACTGACATTGTAGTAAACATTACATTCAAACGTGAATTTGACAAGTCCTTGGAGAACTTGCTTTGGTATTGTTAGGAATAACATGGTTACCTAACGTAGTTTGGGTAAAATAATATATATAGACTATGATAGTGAATTTAAGTATGTGTCACTTTAATTGCAAAGCATGTAATTTTGGGTGCGGTTGTAAAATCGCCATAAGAGGGAGCAAGAGAACCTGATTGACTGCTGGCTTACTGGATTGCTTGCTGACTGATGGATTGATGGTGTGATAACTGCGTGTTCTTTGCTGTTGCTGAAGGAAGAAAAGAGGTTTTACTTCTTCATATCTCTACTGCGAAGAGATATATTACTGGACTGATATTAGTAAGTTTACTGACCTCTTTTTCGACACTGGACTTTGCAACTGATTAATCCCCGGACGGACTGAACTAGTGTATGATATATGGACTGTTTGACTATGCTATAAATCTTACTGGAATAAACTATTTAACTAGCACATTGTATCTGTTTTACTGAGTGTAAGCTACAAAAACGTTTGTCTCACATATTTGCCTGCCTGCCTGACTGCCGTGCAGGTTCTGCTAGGGTGTATATCCCTAACAGGTATGGCTCATACGAGTCTTGAGCAGCCAGGCATTGCTAAATACCAGCTGGTAGTAAGTACAGGTAGTTCTCGACTTATAATAGTTCATTTATTGACCATTCAAAGTTACAACGCTGCACTGAAAAAAGTTACATCGTTTTTCAGCTACGACCCCCCCATGATCATGTGACTGAAATTCAGATGCTTGGCAACTAGTTTCATATTTATAACGGTTGCAGTGTCCCAAAGGTCATGTGATCACCTTTTGTGACCTGCTCAGAAAAGTCAGCAGGGAAGGTCATTTAACAACCAGGTTACTTAATTTATTAAGCATGACGATTCACTTAACAACTGTGGTAAGAAAGGTCATAAAAGAGGGTACAACTCGCTTAACAACAGAAATTTTGGGCTCCATTTTGTTAGTAAGTTGAGCTGTAATGGATTTCTCAACAAGCTATCACGCTTTTCCAAAAACCAAACTTCCCCGCTTAACCTGTGTAAATGAGTCCTGTGGTGGGATTCACCTCTGGGCGGGGGGAAGAGTCTGCTTGCGGAGATGAGGTGGACCGGTTGCTTTCGTGGTGTGGAGACAATAACTGGGTCCTCAACACCAATAAGACCAGTGGTGGGATTAAATTTTTTCTACTAGCGGTTCTGTGGGCGTGGCAAGGGAAGGATATTATAAAATCTCCAGTCAGAGGTGGCATTTGCCGTTTCTCCGAAATACTCAAAATTTCCGCTACCGGTTCTCCAGAACTGGTCAGAACCTGCTGAATACCACCTCTGAATAAGACCAAGGAGCTTTATGGTGGATTATAGAAGGAACAGATCAGACATCCAGCCCTTGCTTATCAATGGAGACCGAGTGGAGCAAGTGGCCAGTTTTAAGTTTCTGGGTGTTACCCTAAAAGAGGACCTGACCTGGGGTGCCCACATTGCAGCTCTGGTCAAAAGGGCCCAGCAGAGTTTATACTACCTGAGGCTTCTCAGAAAACAACAACTGAATGAGAAACTGCTGGTGACCTTCTACCGCTGCACCATAGAGAGCATTTTAACATACTGCACTTCTGTATGGTTTGTCAATTGCACAGTGGCAGATAGGAAAGCACTCCAGAGGGTTAACATCATTGCCCAGAGGATCATTAGTTGCCCTCTCCCCTCTTTGGAAGAGCTTCATAGCTCCAGCTGCCTTAAGAAAGTTCAAAACATTCTCAAAGATCCATCTCATCCTGGAAACCCTTTTTTTTTTTAAACTATTGCCATCTGGCAGACGGTGCAGGATAATAAAAACAAGGACAAATAGGCTGAAAAACAGCTTCTATCTCAGGGCAGTAGCTCTTTTGAATTCTGCTGTATAGTGCAATATTAATGCAATATCAGGGGTTTTCAATTCAATATATAGAATGTGAAGGATATGTGTTTGTGTTTATTTTCATAGCCATAATGTACACCGAAGATGGTATTTAATTTCATTGTATGAGGTGCAATGACAGATAACAGATAATCAGAGTTGGAAGGGACCTTGTAGGTCATCTAGTCCAACCCCCCACCCAAGCGGGAGACCCTACACTATTTCTGACAAATGGCAGTCCAATCTCTTCTTGAAAGTCTCAAGTGATGGCACTCCCACAACTTCTGAAGGCAAAGCTGTTCCATTGGTTGATTGTTCTCACTGTCAGAAAGTTTCTCCTTATTTCCAGGTTAAATCTCTCCTTGTTCAGTTTCCATCCATTATTCCTTATCTGGCCTAGAGGCGCTTTAGAAAACAGCTTGACCCCTTCCTCTCTGTGGCAGCCTTTCAGATATTGGAAGACCGCTATCGTGTCTCCCCTGGTCCTTCTCTTCACTAGACCAGCCATGCCCAGTTCCTGCAACCGTTCGTTGTATGTTTTAGCCCCCAGTCCCCTAATCATCCTGGTTGCTCTTCTCTGTACTTTTTTTCTAAAGTCTCAACATCTTTTTTATAATGTGGTGATCAAAACTGGATGCAGTACTCTAGGTGTGCTCTTACTAAGGCTTTATAGACTGGTATTAGTACTCCCCTTGACAATAAAGTAAAGTAAACAAATGCAACCTGAGCTCCGCCTCTTAAGGCGTCCAGGACTCCCCCTCGCGGATGGGCTGCAGCCCCATCTGGAAGGGAGGCGGGCAAAGAGGAGCGCCGGGGGGTGCGAGGAGAGGGGGCGGCTCTTCTTAGGGCGGAGGGTCGCTGCCTGGAAGGCAAGTAGGCAGGCAGGCAGGCGCGGGGCTTCCTAGGAAAGAAGGTAGGTTCCCCCTTTTGTTTTGCCTTCCGCCTCCTCGTGCATGGCAGCCCAGAAGTTGCTCCCTTTGCAGGTGCAGTTCAAGAGGCACTTTTGCCATTGTTTTGAGGTGGGGGGGAAATCCCTCCTGGATCTGGGATTTCGACCTTTTATTCCGTGTACCTGATTACTTTGACCCGGTGGTGGAGTTTGAATGAGGCAGCCGGAACTTCTCGCGGTTACTTTGGCGCTGCCGGTTTTTAGCTAGCTTAAGTTTTCGGAGTTGCATTCGGTGCAACCTAATAAGATAACCACAGCGTGGTGGAGGCCTCCGAAAATAATTATATCAAGGATGCTATCCCTTATCAAATGTAACAATTTGCTAGGCTTTTACTTAATAGTTGTTTTTTAAAAAAATATTTGTCTCTTGAGGATCGGACTGTTGGGCGGAATTTTCCGTCAGAGGATGATATACGTACAGGTAGCCTCTTTGTAGCGACCATTCTGGAAAAAGAAATATATTATTCAAAGTGTAAGGGCTGTCTCATCCAGAGAAATCTGGTCAGCTCTCAGAAGGTTATCCACAATAAAAAAGCAAGTTACAAACCAAAATGCAAACGTTTTAAAACATTTTTTGCTACATGCTTCAACACCTCATGTTGTTGTTATTATTGTTGTTGTTGTTATTATTATTATTAGAATCTCTCATCTGAGCAATTCTGCACCTCTTAAGTAAAAAAAAAATTAAAAAAAAAACAAGTTAAAAAGTAACAAATACATAGAAACTATGCACAATCCATTTAAAAATTAAAAACATCACAATCAGCATCCTCAATGCAAGCCCTTTAAACGCCACTGCCCACAAACCACCTGGCAGGGTGGTGGCAGAGCCAAGGTTTCAGGGCCTTCCTAAACGCAGAGAGTCAACTGAAGGTTTAGGAGGGATAATGCCTGGAGCAGCAACCATTCAAAATGGTGCATTATATCACAACGATTTTTGAATGAAGGCCACTGCTACCTTAATGCATTAAAAATCCAGGATCAATTATTTCTGTGAAATTGAAATTTCCAGGATCAGGTTTATTCACAAAATTATGGCGATAACAGTGTCGTTTTCCCACCCACCCACCCCCAGTCATGCGACATGATAGCAGTATTTGAGGGGCTGCCACAAAGAAGAGGGGGTCAAATTATTCTACAAAGCACCAGAGGGCAGGAAAAGAAACAATGGATGGAAACTAATCAAGGAGAGAAACAACCTGGAATTAAAGAGAAACTTTCTAACAGCGAGGACAACTAACCAGTGGAACAAACAGCTTGCCTTCAGAAATCATGGGCACTCCATCACTGGAGGTTTTTAAGAAGAGACTAGATAGTCACTTATCTGGAATGGTATAGGTCCGGGGTGATGAACCTATGGCACACGTGACGGAAGTGGCATGCAGAGCCATTATTGCCGGCATGTGAGCACTCGCCCAGAAAAGGTCTGCGCATGCGCGCTGCCCGCCCGCTAGCTGATTGTCCGGTATCTGGCACGCATGTGTTCTATTCCTATTCTCTCTGCCAGTTTTCCCACAACCAAAGTCAGTGGGGAAGCTGGTAGGAAGTCAGAAGTCCCTCCCTGTCTCACTGCTTTTTTGGCCTGCCTGTGCTCATTCGGTTTATTTCTTTGGGTAAGTGAATATTGACTTATTTTTATTTGCTTACAAGTAGTCCTCAACTTACCACAGTTCGTTCGGTGACCTTTCAAAGTTACAATGGCACTGAAAAAAAGTGACTTGTGACTGCTTTTCACACTTATGACCATTGCAGCATCCTCATGGTCCGATCAAAATCCAGACGCTTGGCAACCGACGCATATTTATGACGTCTGCAGCGTCCTGGGGTCATGTGATCACTTTTGACAAGCAAAGTCAATGGGGAAGCCCGATTCGCTTAGCAACTGTGGCACGAAATGTTGTAAAAAATGAGGCAAAGTTCACTTAAGAACTGTCTTGCTTAGCAGTAGAAGTTTGGGGCTCAGTTCTGGTTGTAAATTGAGGACTACCTGCACATTTTTTTTTCTCTATTTTATAACATATAAATCTCCTTAGGTGATGACAGCCGCATCCAGCTTTGGGATAAAAAAAAAATATTGTCCGCCATATTATGCCGCGTGGAAAGAGAAGACGAAAGTCATGGTCAAGAGATGACTACAGATGTCGTCACGCAGCAAGGAGGAGGCGAGAACAAGAATCGGAGGAGGCTAGGGCTGCTCGACTCCTGGATCAGAGACTCAGGACAAAGAAAAACAGAGAAAAGGAGACGGAGGAGGAGAGGCACGCACGCCGCCAGAATGACAAGGAAAGACAGAGAAGGAAGAGAAAGAAAGAGACAGAGGAAGAGAGAGATGCCCGCCTCCAGGATCAGAGAGAAAGAACAAAGAGAAGAAGGTACGAAGAAACAGAGGAGGAAAGGGCTGCCCGTCTCCAGAAAGACAGAGAAAGGCACAGAATGAGGAGACAAGCCCAGACGAAGACGAAACAGGAGGATCCACTTGAGAATACGTGGCAAAGGGAAATTAGCGCGAGAGTTGCAGAACCCGACGCCTGCCTTCGACTACAAGGCCTCCACAGAGAGAGAGCAAAGCAAAATGGACAACTCATATGGTGTAATGTTTCTGCCGAGGTTGGTGCAATGATTAAAGTCTGCCCTGGCTAACCACCTTTCTTTCAAAGGATGACCCCAATGAGTCACAGGGCTGTCTGGTTTATTCCGTCACTCAAATATGTCCGTTTGCTGGAGTTTAATAGGTTTGTCTGAAATATTTGACTTCGGGTGAGTGAGAGTGTTGGGCAGCTTTTTTTTCATTAGAGGATGATATATAGGTAGACCTCGCTTACCCACTGGCCTCATGCAGCGACTAATAACTTGGTGGCCAAAGCTTGCATTTATAGCTTTCCCCCCATCCCTCAGTCACATCATTGTGATGATGACAACGATGATAATTGCATGATTTGTAGGTCCCTTATCTAAGAAACCGGGCAGCTCAGACCAGGTAAAACAAAAGTTAAAAACCTGTTTGAAAACATGGAAACAGTCCATAATCAATTAAACAAAAACAAAAACAAAAAAATCACATTCAGAAACAATTCACCCTACAGTAGGTCAATATAGCCCCTTTAAGAGCTCTTCGCTATTGCCAGATCGAGACCTGAATGGGAAGCCATGTCTTCCGGGCCTTCTAAAGGCCGATTGGAGTCCATGGCAGGTCCTGGAAGATAATGCAACAACCATGAAAAATTATGACAGTGACAAAAAACTGGCTTTGCAACTTAATTCTCACATGAGCGGCACAGTGCAGTGGTGGGATTCAACATTTTTTGCTACCGGTTCTGTGGACGTGGCTTGGTGGGCATGGTGTGGCTTGCTGGGCGTGGCTTGGTGGGCATGGCAGGGGAAGGATACTGTAAAATCCCAATTCCCTCTCCACCCCACTAACCTGCTTTCCAGCTCCGTTCTCCTGTGCAGGGCAACAAAAGGAAACCCATCCGATCAGCTGGGACTCAGGAGGCAGAGAATAGATGGGGATGGGGCCAGTCAGAGGCGGTATTTGCCGGTTCTCCAAACTACTCAACATTTCCGCTACCGGTTCTCCAGAACCTGTCAGAACTGGCTGAATACCACCTCTGCCGCAGTGTTCTGTGGCCACATAATCACCATTTGTCCTCTTCCCAACCAGCTTGTGACAAGCAGTCAATGGAGAATCTGACAATAAAATTGTAAGTTGTGGGCATGTGATATTCTGTTTAGCATCCATGCCACTTCGGTTAATGCTTGAAGGGGAAATGATATCTAACATGATCATATGATTTTTTCACTTAGTGTTTAGTACTTAGCAACATTTTCCAGTCCCCATTGTGGTTGCTAAGTGAGTACTTACTTGTATATCTATCTCCACAGAAAATAATTTAACTTACTTGTTCACTTCCAACTGCCATCTAAAATAAGAGTGGGGCAGAATGACCAGGCCCTAAACTGAATCACTAATCAAATAGAGAGTTTTTTAAATACACCTTGGAAAGACCAGAATTTCCCAGAGACAAGGGAGCTCATTCCAGGCTCAGAGGACCTTGTACATAAAGGCCCCAAATCTACAGGCTAAAACCCCCTAGCAAGGGGGGCTCTGAGGATTGTGGGGAGACGGAAAGACCGAGGGACATCAAAAGGGGACTGGGAGGCTCAAAGAACCTGAAGCTTCAATGGAGCTCAGGCTCTAATTTATTTATTTTTATTCTAGTTATATTAAGGAGCTACCAAGCATCATCTAAGAATCTTTAACAGCAGCAAATGGTCTTAATTGTAAGAAAAAGAATATTTTTCAAATCATAAAGAGGGATACTACAAACACAGAAAAAGGGTCCTTCTATGTTGCTATTTACTACTACTTATTTTTCCTTTCTGTGTAGCTGCGAGGAGGCCCAACTATGGAGGAAGAGAAGGGTGTCGTGGTATGCAAAGAAAAAGAGGGAACTGAGAATGGGGGAAGAGACCCTTTCATTGTCCAAGTCAGGACCATCAGGGGCTTTTTGACCAAGGGTGGCCCATCCCACATTAAGATGGAGTCAGAGGACGAAATACACCAGTGCTGGGATTCTCAAAGGCAGGAACTCTTGAAAAGAACAGCTGGGTTTCCCGCAGCACCATCTCTTTTGGAAGAAGATACGAAAGGTTTCCTGGCCTCCTTGGGAAGAGTCAAGAAGGATCTGCAGGAGGGCAGCTCTGGGAAGACCAGAGGGAAGGTTGTACCCCAAAGAGATCCGAACATCAATAGAAAAGTTCGGACGGGTAGGAAAAAGCTGGATTTCTGCATGAAAGTTAAGGCTGAAGAGACTTTGGAGGAAGTTGATCTGGAGAGCCAGAGGCTCCTGCACCTTAGGCAGTTCATCCCACAGGATGCCGAAGAGGTATTCAGTCCCCAAAAGCTTTAAAAAAAGGAGAAAATTGGGCGGGTGGGGGAGATGGTAAGGATTTATTATAAAGATACTTTTTCATTATTGTCATAACTGTGAATGGTTGCTAAATGGGGACTAGAGTCACCGTTTCACTGACCTTATTGCCAGCCCCAATGATGGTCTATCTTTACTCTTTCATTTCAAGTAATATTACAATACTACTCTGCCTAGTTTTGTACTTATATAAAAACAACTAATCCTCGGATTACGAAGGTGTTTGGAACTGTAATTTCTCTTTTTTCCCCTTTGTTCAGTGCCGTTGCAACTTTGAATAATTGCATGTGAGGACTGCAGTACTTTGTAAACCAAATTGCATGTGAGGACTGCAATACTTTGTAAACCAAATTTTCATACAATGCGTTTCTATTCAATCCATTTTCCCCCTATTTACGCTACTTGCAAATACTGGAGCCAACCCCACATGATATTAAACCAGGGGTCCTCAATCTTGGCAACTTTTAAGACTTGTGGGCTTCAACTTCTGGGAGTCGAAGTGCACAAGTCTTAAAGTTGCCAAGTTTGGAGACCTCTGTATTAAACCAAGGCTTTAAAATATTTACTATGTTATAAATTCTAAGAATGATATCCAAAGATTTAAAAAGTAATAAAGGATTACAATGGGAAATATATATTAGAATTAACGTCTTTGCAATAGAATGTACAAAATGTTGTTAAAAACACCTACTTCAGAGAGGATAACAAAAATTGAGTCTGGAAGGCTGAAGTTGCAAGCACATTCACAGTCACACCTAAACTGCTATGATATTCATCTACTGATCATTTCACTTAATGAGCTGATCCTTGGAACAGAACAAGGATTGGTTGCAATCAGCCAACCCAAAAAGGCTTGTAGGAGGCTGTTGCACAGGATTTGCTCCGAGTGATTACTAGAGCCAGGAGACATTTGATATTTTTAATAGAATGTTTATTAAAACTTTTAGTTTAGAAGAAAAAATCGGATAGAAAGTGAGGAAGGGGGAAAGAAATAGAAGAGAAAGTGTGATAAATAGGAGGGGAAATTCAAGAAAAATGGAAAGAAAAATGATACAAAGAAAGTGGCTTCGGATATTTTTCACAGCAGTCCACAATTGTCACCAGTGCACAATTGTAATTCAGATCCTGACTTACTTTGCTCCATACAAATGGATAAACATCCATTTCAGATAGCTAAAGTGGAAAAAACATTGACAACTGTCCCAAAGGCGCTTTTTCAAGAGGCAACTGGACTTTTGTTAGTCTTTGAAAATGTTTTGCTTCTCATCCAAGAAGCTTCAGCTGAAGAAGCTTCTTGGATGAGAAGCGAAACGTCTTCAAAGGATAACAAAAAAGTCCAGTTGCCTCTTGAAAAAGCACCTTTCGACAACCATGACCTGGATATCTAAGAAGTTCCATAATAGACATTGACAACGATATTTTGAGACCTTTCAGTTCTGATTGTTTTAGAATTGTATAAAGCCCATTTTTCTAACCAACATTTCTGGTGGAGTAGAGAAGAATCTTTTGGTTCCATCTCCCTCAACTGGTTTGAGCATTACTCATCTTGGAGGGCATGGAAAGCATGCCTGGTGGGTACCTTCTTCAGGACTTCTTTGAGTTGAATCAAAGTTGCTTTTCCTTTTTCAGATGCCTCGAAACCTAGAGGGTACGAAGCTAAAACCTCCCAAATTCGAGGAAGAGGCCTTTGAGATTGTGAAGGTAAAGGTTCCTTGGAGATAAATCAAGAGAATGATGGGGAGGCCAACTGACCAGGTAAGGATTCAGAATGTCAATCCTTGCAAACGTTCATGGGGTGCTTTGAGCCAAAAGAGTTCTTAGTATTTAAAACCCGGGGAAGTGCCAGCATCTTGCAGAACAAGTTGGTTGCTCAGTCCTTCACATCTGAGGGTCCATCGAGCCAAACGCCATTTTCTGGAGAGGAAGAAGGTCCCAGTTTCCATCATAGAATTGTTGATTCCTAGAAACCTTGGTTGAAAGGATCAAATTGTAGAAGATGCGGAAAAAAAACACTGACTGCTAGAAAATCTAGTGACCTGCTTGCCAGTTGAGCATATAATACTGAACTAGCTGCCCCCCCCTATGTTTCCAACTTCTGTCAGGTGGACCCATAACTTGATGGATTGATTATGTGCCATCAACTCAATATTAACTATTAGCGGCCAGATAGATTTTCTCTTTGACAAGATCTGTAACCTTTTGGCACAGGTAATGTAGTCTTACATTAGAAAGAGGCCAGGAAATCTAAACCCTTGCTTTGGGTGGGAATCCAAATTCAGCCACCCCCAGAGAGCTACCCTAATTTCCGCTTGACCATAATGAAGGGAAGCCGCCCACCCTTCGGGCCCATTGATTTATCTGTCCTATTGCACAGATTGATCAGGAATGAAGGATTCTGGGAACTGAAATGTGGCCATCTAGGGAAATTGAACGTAGTTCTAAAGTGATGTGATGGATCAAATGGTATTTAAAAGGTTAGTGAGTGAGCCCATTAGTTGTGTTTAATTAAAAAAAAAATGTTTTAAGGAAATCAGTGTCTTACTGATATGTGAACTATTCTCTTGTTACTTTAAAAGAGTAGTAATATTAAGAGCAATATTCTTAATCATGAGATCCTCCCAAGCTGGGGGTGTTCAGAAAACCACCAAATGAGAATGCTTGAATGTGGGTGTCAGGTGAGGCTCCATTCAAAATCCAAGAAAGGAAACCTTAGACTCCATTGTTTTAGAGAAAAGGACTTTTACTGAAAATTGATAGGGTAGCATCAGATCTGAGGCAAATAGGCGCAAAAATCACCTAGAGAAAGTTATGCCAATGTTCCCATCCCCAGTAATTCAAAATGGCCGTCCAGTCTGAGGTGTGCGTAACGTCATGTGGGGCATCTTCAGGTGGTGTTTCAGACATCTGGCTCGCCATGGTGCTTGACCTTGACCATGGATAGATAGATAAGAAGCTGCAGCTGCATAGTAAGCAAGTAAGCATAGTCAAGAAAAATTTCCCAAGTTTTACAGTTCACCCTCTCAAGCCTCCAGCACTCTTCCCCGCCTCCCCACATAGTCCAATTACTCTCCCCCCACCCTTTCTATGGCAGCCAGAAAGACAAGCAGAAGAAGGATTCTTGAAGGCTGACAGAGGATTTCTAGGGTCAAACAGAAGGGGAAGATGAGGTAGTCTTTTAGAGACAAGGTCAATTGGAAGAGGAAAGAGGAGACCAAGCAACACTAGAATTCGTTGCAAAAGTTGTTACGATGGGAATTCATTGTTGGAAGGTAGCATGACATAAATGCTTTTCTGTTTGTCTCAGAATATGCCATTTGACAGATGCACAAGAAGACCTTCCAAGTGGGAAGATCTGAAAAAGCGGATGAATTCCACTGAAAGGAGTCCATAAAATATTTTTCCTCATTTTCTGGAATTAAAGGTAAAGCCATAAATCCAACAGGGGCTCACAGGCACTCAGGAAATAAAACCAATGAATCTTTCCTACCTGAAGAAGGCGACCAGAACTCAAACGAAGCGAATTTCAGTGTGTGTGTGGGGGGGGGGAGTCAGAATTAAGAGGAGACAGAGATGTATGCAACCATCAGTATTCTGGATATTCAATGAGGGAACATTCCCTCAAGAAAATATATATATATAACTGCTCAGAAACATGGGATGTTTCGTTTGGAAAAACAAACCTCATGAAGAACAAGCGGATGCATATAGCAGAGAAGCCATATAAAAGCAGCAAAGGTTTCAATGCAAAATGTGTGAGTAACCTTGTTATTAAATGAATCTGGCCTCCCCATTGGCTTTGCTTGTCAGGAAGTCACAAAAGCTGATGATCACCTCAACCTGGGACACTGTAACCATCATAATAAGTACGAATCCGTTGCCAAGCACCTGAATTTTGATCGTATGACCAAGGGGATGCTGCAACAGTCATAAGTGTGAAAAATGGTCATAAATCATTTTTTTCCCAGTGCCGTTATAACTTTGAATGGTCACTAAATGAACTGTTGTAAATTGAGAGCTAGTTGAGACGGGCACAAGTGAATAGATCAGTAGATTGATATCTGTAAGGGATGTTGCTCTGCGATAGGAGCCACAACCTTCCTGAATACATTTATGGATCATTCCTGAATATATTTGTCCTCTGTATTTGGGAGAGGCACTGCAGCCTTACAGCAAACTTATTCAGTAGGAAATACGGGTCGCCAAAAGGGATTTTTTTCCCCATAGGCAGTTAAGCTCTGATGATGTAGTGGTTAGCATGCCGTATTGCAGGCTAACTCTGCCCACAGTCTGGAGTTTGATCCTGACTGGCTCAAGGTTGACTCAGCCTTCCATCCCTTCTGAGGTTGGTAAAATGAGGATCCAGTTTCCCTATATAAGGGAGAAATATGCTGACATTGTAAACTGGTCAGAGTGTACTGAAAAACGCTATGGGGCAGTATATAAGTCAAAAGTGCTGTTGCTATAGGCCAGAGGTCGCCAAACTTGGCAACTTTAAGACTTGTGGACTTCAATTCCCAGAATTCTCCAGGCAGCGTCGCTGGCTGAGGAATTCTGAGAGTTGAAGTCCACAAGTCTTAAAGTTGCCAAGTTTGGGGACCCTGCTATAGGCCCACACCCATTCCTCTTCTTTGCCACTTTATCAAGGATTGCTCCTACACGTTATCTATCTCTCCTGTGATTAGATGAGACTGCCCAGGTGTGACTTTTTTGACTACACCCTGTTTTCCATGAAAATAGTTAGCAGTCCTAATATGCTTCAAAGTTTCTAAAATGGAACTAAGGGTTTGTTCTAAGAGCAAAACTTGTTAAACTTGTAAAAAATGTTGGAAACAGCTCTAAAACCACGATGTAGTGCTGGAAATATTGTATATTTTACTATTTTGCTGCACTGAGCTTGTAGGAAAAAGAATGTACATTGTAGAAATAAAATTATCGTTACCACTGCTGTTCAAGAAATGCACACTCTCATTCTCTTCCCCCCCCCAGACCCGTTCATTTTTCTCCCTTGAAAAATCCTCCAGATCCCCCTTTCAGCCTCAATCGGCAAATTCTCCTCAGATGAAAAACTCAAGCTGATTTGGGCTGGATTGAGAAGCTAACCATAGTGACTTGGCTTAGAATTGGGATGGGAGACTGTTGAGGTAATTCCCCGTTAGGAGAATGAGCGCGCACAGGGAGACGTAGTGAGAGTAGTGAAGAATAACACACAACTAGCACACAGATACACTGTATAGTAAAATGTAGGTTTTTACTTCCAGTAAACGGTTAAGCAAAGTTCAACAAAACAGTCCAAGTCATTCACGGTTGTAGCAGTCATTTTTGTAGTCCAGGGATAATCCAAATATCAAAGTCCAGTATCAAAAACAGTTCAGTAACAGACTTACATCAAACCCAAGAAGAACTATTATCAGCAACAGGGAAAAATGTAGGAAAGGCAACACTCTCAGCAACAAGAGAACAGAACAGGACAACCCAGGTTTCTGGCTCCATCTTATGGCCATTTGAGGAACCACACCCAATTAAAATTTTTAGCATTCCCTTAAAGAGACAGTATTAAAATGTCTATCCTGGTTTATATATTTTCCAACCCAACTGTTAGGTGACTTACATTCCTAACAGAGACCACTAGGAATCCCTTTAGAAGAATCATCCCGGGAAAACCAGTAACAATTTATCTTCCTTTGTATAGTCAAGGAAGCAAGGTAGACTTACCTTGTAGCAGACAAACAAAAATTGGCAGGTTCTTGTAAAAGTTGATCCATGGATAAATAGGCTGATCCATATGGACCTTCTGTAGGGGAAAGAATGGCAGAATCTGGGGGCGGAGTTAAAAGAGGGATCAGACTAGAATCACTACATCTCCACAAGCAAACTAAGTCCAACCTTCCTTGAATTCTGTTATCTAACTCCTAGCGCAGTGGTGGCTAATCCTTTTGAGCTCCTGTGCCGAAAATTGCACTCACGAGCCAGCACCCAAAAGGCCATGCGGGCAGAGGGGTTCCCCACGCCCCCTGCACATGTGTGTGCAACCCCTGTGCACCGCACATGCGTGCAAGATCCCCCGTGTACCATGCATCTCTGTGCATGTGCTCATGTCTCCCATGCACCTCCGCCCTCTGCGCATGCACAACAGATACCCAACAATCAGCTGTCGGGCGCGCGGCACGCAGTGAGGCTCTTCCGGGTGACCTCTCGCATGCCGGCAGAAGTGGGTCTGCGTGCCACTTCTGGCACGCGTGCCATAGGTTTGCCATCACGGTCCTAGCGTGTGCTAACCGTTAGTTGAGAATTTTCCCGTGGAGAGGCACAAGCAAGAAATCAGTTTCATAGGATTAATTTGACTTCCCTGTGCCTTTCGCACCTGACACCTTCATCAGCCAGGCATCTCTGGATATCACCTGCTAGAGATGGATTTTTCTCATCATACCCCTCCAGAAACAAAGACTCCCACGCTTAACCTGTGCAAGTGCAGCCTGAGCTTTGCTCCGTAAAGCTGTAAGATGAAGTCATGGGATCCTGCGCTTAGCAACCGGCCCCTTTGCTTAAGGATGGAAGGGAAAGTGACATCACAACTGTGATGTGGTTTTACTGCTTAGCGACTGTGATGCTTTTAACAACTTGGTTTCTAGGCTCAAAAATGGGTTTTGTATCTTTTTTAAGAGGCTAGATTTCCCCAGAGACAAAAAGAGCTCATTCCGTGCTCACAGGTCCCAAACCTGCAGGCTCCAATTGTATTACTACCAACTAGTTCAATTTTAAGTTGGAAGCTATAAAAAAGTTGGAAGCCCTAGGCAGGTAAGCGTCTGCCTCCAGGTGGAGAGAGAAACTGAGGGGATATGTGCCAATGTGGAGGAGAGGCCAGGTGGGTTGGGAAGCATACAGGTGCCTGTGACCACGAGGTGAGAGTCCAAGTTTTCAAAGGAATATAAATAAATAGACAGGACCAGAAACGACAGAATTAAATTCCTTTGACTGGAGGAATCCTTGGCAGTCTTCCAAAGGCTGCCTGCCAAGTCCGATAACAAACAAGACCATAAATCAAGAAGCAAATGCCGCACGGAGAATTTGTCCAAGCTGCTATCCCGAATAAACAAATTGTCCCAAACAGAGATTCAGAGCTAACACGCCCTCTTTTATTTCCTGAGGGGCGTGTCAGTCTCTCAAGTCAGCCCCTGATTTTACATTTCCTTTTACGTTGTATTTCACGTCGATGTCTACCTCTTTGCCTTGCATCAGACCAGCATTCCTCGGCTTGATCCTCAGCCAAGGACTCTGGCACGCTCTCCTGATTATCTGCCGACACCTGAGGCACAACCAGGGAGGAAGGTCCCGGGGAGGGAGATGATTCTGAATCCTCCAGCAACGCAGGCTCAAACCTCAGAGCCAAGTCCTCCTCTTCCTCCTGGCTCAAGTCTGTGTCTTCCAGCAAGGCAGGCTCAAATCTCGAAGCCAAATCCCTCTCTCCCTCATTACTTAAGTCTGTATCTTCTAACAAGGCAGGTTCAGACCTCCGAGTCACAACACAGGTGTACGAAGTTGGGTGCAAGGGTGCAAAGGAGAGCGGCAATGGTCAGGGAAAATGTACGGCAGCGTGGGGAAGGTGTTGTGTGGATCAGGGAAGGTGCATGAGAGATGCCACCTGGGTTACGAAGGGTGCGTGGGATTGTGAGTGGGTATAAGGATGCAAGGAAGGCTGGCAATGATCAGGGAGACAGTGCGGGTATGCAGAAATGGACTTGCGAGACAAGACCGAGTAAGTCCAGAGAAGGGGAACAAAAATGGGGCAAGGTCTGAAGGACAAAACGTTATCAGGAGAGATTGGAGGAATTTGAATATGTGTTGCCTGGAGAACAGGAGGGAAAGAGGGGGCACGATTGAAACTTTTAAATTTATTAAAAGGTGTGAATAAGGATCTAGACGGCAGTAATATTAATATTAAGCAAACATCCAGAACACGGGAATAACCAAGGTGGTTTGGGGACTGAAGGCTAAATAACGCGAGGAACGGTTGAAGGAATTGGGTATATGTTTGGTTTATTGAAGATAAGGTGACATGACAGCAATGTTCCAGTATTTGAGGGGTTGCCACAAAGAAGAGGGAGTCAAGCTATTCTCCAAAGCACCTGAAGGCACAACAAGAAGCAATGGATGGATACTAATCTAAGAGAAAACCAAACTAGAACTCAGGAGAATTTTCCTAACCGTGAGAACAAATTAACCAGGGGAACAACTTGCCTTCAGAAGTTGTGGGCGTTCTAACACTGAAGGCTTTTAAGAAGAAACTGGAAATCCACTGGTATGAAATGATACCGTTTGTATGAAATGGTACAGGGTTGGGTTAGCAGACT